CAAGGCAAAATTTATTTGCAGTCTGGATCTAGACAGAAACTTCCATTTGGTAGTCCTTGAATGACCCTGTCCTGGAATGCTACAGCTGTAGGTAAAAGCCATCAATTTACAACTTTCTCCTTTTCGATTTATTAGAAGCTGCTCATCTGGGGACAGAAATTTTCATCTCAGATGCTTTTGGTAGAGAGGCTAAATTTAGCTTAATTCTATTTGCCAATAAGATATGGAAACAAACTTTTATTTCCTGGCTTCAAAAGTATGAGTAACTTTTTAAAGTCCATTTTGGTATGTATGGTGATTATTAAGTCCTGTAAGAAAATTTGATTAATGTAAATAAAACATTAAAACAATGAAAATATAATAATTCACTAAGACACTATAGAAATCTCTGCATATATGTCCAAATAAGTCACTATAATGAAAAAATCCCAACAGCTGCCTTCCATTTGCTGTCTGTATCACTAAAGGTTATAAAATGCTAGGCTCAGTCTCAAATGATTTCACAAATATGGCAGTTCAGATCTTAAATAGTTTAGTAAATATGAATGGTTTTTTATTGATTCAGTCAACGTAATGAACAGCAGTTTAACTTTCTTTATTGCTAAAAGACAAACTGCATTATTCATTTACCAAATATCTGACAGCAATTTGAAAAAAAAGAGATAACCACTTCATTTTCTCAAAAACATTCAGAAATCTCAATTTAAAAAATCAGGTGTATTATTTTTATTTTTTTTCTACTAGAAATGAGATTAGATAATTTTCATACAGCTAGGAAAAAAGATAAATATTGTATGTGTTAAATTTCATATTCCTAGAGGAGAACTTCAGGTTACTAAATATTTCAGAAGCTATTTATTCTTAGTAGTCAGTTTGTATTTCTTTAAACCTGGGCAGAAAAGCAAGCATCGTTCATTTGTGATAGCTGTTAGGAAGTAGTAAACTCATTTACTATTGACTTATTTTCATATCTGATGGCAGAAAAAAAGTCTCATCTACACAGAGGCACACACAACTAACAATCAGTTAAGGGATTTCCCTGGCTGTTGCTCTGGGAAAAGGCCCTATGTGTCTGAGCTCTCTCACTTGCAAGCCCCAGTAACCCTTTCTAAGAAAACTGAAGAGGCTACAACCTCTGGTACCGACCTGGGCTTCCTACTGAGGTTAATACCCTGTTAATAGGAGCAGCAGAACAGCTGCTCAGCCCTGGCAATTCACAGCCTCTAGGTTAGCAGAACCCTCATTCGTCTGGGTTCCTGTTCCTCCACAGGGCTGCAGAGCAGTTGCACTGCCAGTGTGTTGCCTCTGCATGGGAGCAGCCACCTGATAGAGCTCTGGGCAGTTATGGCTGGTACCTGCTGTATTGCCTGCACTCAAATCATCATCCAAGGCATTGAGGAAAAGAAACAGCTGAAAGACTGATAACTGAAAGAAATAATTCATCAATTAGGGAAACACAGGTAGCGTAGCCCAAGGAGAAAGTTATTGAGCTAAAAAATAACCAAAAGACTTTTGGAAGTGCAATGAAAGAAGAACTTATTTCTCTTGTTAATTCTCCTTCTGTTCAGGAAAGCGGGATTTTCCACATAGGCATGATTGCTTCAAAGGAGCATGACTTCATCACCAGTTTATTTGTTCAGAAAAAGCAATCAAAAAAACCCTCCAGGGCTCCAAATTTTGGCTAAGCATTCAGGTTTAAAAAATTATAATATTACTTTGCTTGACATAGGCATCTTTTTCTTCAGGTACATAAAACTTTGGTGTAAGCATTGTATGTGAAAATAGATAAACTAATATTAGAAATCTGTATAAAGTCAATTAAGATCTTGAAGCTGAACAAAGAAATGTAACAACTATGTATTTTGGTTTAGAACTACTTTATCTGAGCCTTGTTACTTTTGTAAAAAAAAATTATTTACACATCTACCATATGTGAGCCAATGCATCAGTCAGGAACTTCACTTGATGTATAAAGGATTCAAGGTCTATGTAACTTTATAGAAAAAACAGTCTGGAGCTATAGCAGGTAGAAGTGGTTTGGAAATTGTATGGGATATTAAGTTAGAAAAACAACAGCAAACCATAGAAAAAACATATTTTACCCTAAAAGAACATTACCAGTAACATTCCTGAGTATTAATTTTCTGAATAACTTTGGGCTGTTCTTGCAAATAATGGTCTGATGTATTAAGAAAAACTGAACTTTGTGCTGGTCATGCTTAATATACTGTGCTGCAATCTGTAATAGTTCAGGTCCTTCACAAGGCGCTGAGCTTTCCTTCCAGTGGGAGCACCAACCCCTGGGAGAGGGGTGAGAGGCACCCAAGGAAAGCCATCTTCTCCTATCTACAGTGGTTCACTGCCTAAAACCCACTGCTGCAAAAGAACGGTATTGGGTTGCTTAGTCTATAGGAAATGAACACATCTGCTGTCTGTGAGCTCGGGTATTTCAGCTGTCTGATACTGAGGGGAAGGGTAGAAGGAACTGGGCGTATCTATGGCATCTATCTGTCCTTCATCTCTTACGTCAACAGCACTGTGTTTTTTCTAGTCGTTAAGAATGAGGAAAAAATACGCTTCCTAGAGATGCATCTCCTTAGAAAATTATTTTCAAATCTAATTCTAATTACTCTGAAATTAAAATCTTACCTGGTTTAAAATATAAATAATGTGAACTTTAGGAAAGAGTCATGATATTTTTTGTCTAATTTTCATTTAAAAAGGAACCAAATTCAAATTTCCTTGATTGACTCTTACGTAGTTATTTCCAAGTGGTTTTCAATGTGTGTATAATTGTTAGAGGTAAGATAATCTCTCTACATATAGGTAGTAAAATATAAGTACTTTAAGACTCAAGGAAATGAACACTATGCCTCTGCACAACTAAATATATTTTTAGACAAGAGAGACTGATGTCTGCAGTTGAAACAACAGTATTAGAGAAATTCAGGCCAGGAAGAACGGATCTAATCTAAAGCCCCCTGAAATCAATGAGAGGCTTTGCTTTAACTCCTCTCAGCTTTGGCTCCAGCCCCAAGTAATTATTCAAGTTGGACTTTGGCCACTGATACTAACACCATCTGCTTACAGGGAAGTACAATGAAATCTTCAATTAACACAAATTGTGAAGGCTTCAGTTCTATGTCTTATCTAAAAAATGGCACCTTTGAGAGTGCACTGTTGATGCGGAGGACCTTATTCCTTGCCATCTCATGGGGAAGTGTGTCATCTACTGCATTGCCAGCTCTACCTTTTCCATATATTGCCAAGTTTCAAAGCCACAGATTTTCCAACTGAAGCTCATATGCAAGGATACGAAGGTTTTATTTTTATTGGTGGTGTTGGATAAAAATAATAAATATGCAGCAAATGCATGGGAAGGGAGAAGTAAGGGGGTTTTGTTTGTTTAAATCATATTTTAAAAGAACAAAATAAAACATGTAAAAGCGAAAAAAGAATATGACATATGTGTGAAATGCCTACCTAGAGAGCAGGGACAGTCTTACGGTTCAGAATTGGTTTTCTCACTATTTTTCCATTTTCACCTTTTCATAGAATCACTGAGGTAAAACATTTAAACATTCTCTTCCTCAATTTCCCCATCTGTGAAGTTATATTAATTCCAATTGATCTGGCAGGAATTTGCCATCCTAAAATACTGCTTTGAAGTGTTCAAAGGGAGATAGTATATCAAGCTACATATCCTTGGCATTATTGCATACCATCTTACGGCACGGGTAGTCCCACATGCTGTGCAAGTCCGTTTCTTGTTTACACACCATTGTTATGCACCAGCTTTGCAGCACAGGCCACTTCATTGAGAGTGAATAAGGCATAGTCCCTTTTGTACCTATAACTCACATTTTCAAGCCAAAAATGAAAAAGATGTGTCTGTCACCAGACCAATGAGTGTGTCTGGAGGACTTAAATATTGTTTCCTTATTGTAGGGATTAATGAAGTGCTGGCCTGGGCCCTGCACAGCACTTAAGGACATGTTTAACTTTAAGAATCTGAGTAGACTGATGGATTTCCATGGGAATACTGATGTGCTTGAAGTATGTGTTGTTGGAATGAAGTCATATCCTTCAGTATCGTGTGGGGTCACGCTACTTTTGTTTGTAAAAGTGAAGGAACGCTCTCAGATGTTATTCCTCCTACAAGGAATCTCCTGGTTGTTCAAGATGGGGATCCTCAAACATCTCACCCTCCTGATTTCTCAGCCCAGACTCATATGCGGTCTGTCTGCAATACACAGGATCAAGATCTGTGCTAGTGTTCTAGCATTAATTGTTTTCCTGTTCTGAGCCCAAAATAAATTCATTAAGTCATGACTCTAAACAACAGACTTCAATAGCACTGATTTTCTTCCTTTTTCCAATAATTGTATCTAGCAACTTTTATGTATGTAGATATGAAAATCATGGAATAATACTCTGCCAAAAAAATAAATTTACACAAACAGCTCCCCTACTAGCAGAAGTAAGTCATGATGCAAATAGCCCCTGGGCTGCTCAAAAGGCAGTACCTCATGGAGGAAGGGCACAAGCTCTTTCCTTCTGAGGTTCTGCGTTGCTGTCTTAGGTGAGCATCTGTCTCAGACCACAACACTGAACAAGCTTGTCCATCTCCATGTGCCTCCTCTGGGACGTTCTTCAGCAACCTCCCAGTTGCAGCTTGAGTCAGGGGCAACACGTGCAGCTGCAGAGACCTTTGCGCTCAGAAGGAATGCACTGTATTTATTCACCTCTAGGTAGACAGGATGCTCTGTTTAGCTATTTGCGTCATGACTTACTTCTGCTAGTGCCTACTCTGCCATCTGTCTCGAAGTTTCATGCTAGTTCTTTAACAGAATTTACTGAATGCACTGTGTCAGGACCACAGCACAGTTATTACTGTGGATGCTTAAAAGGAATACAATATGCAGAAGTGGACTTCCTTGATACAGAAATGTTTAAGATTGCTTTTGTAACTTAAATTATCTTGGGTTTTTGTTTTGCAGTTTTACTAAAGAATGCAAAAAAGGAGGAAGAAAAGCCTTTCAGAGACTGTGCAGATGTATACCAATCTGGTTTTAACAAAAGCGGGGTCTACACTATTTATATTAACAATGTGTCAGATCCTAAAAAGGTAAAGTAAATACTTGTTTTATTTTCTTTTTTGTTAATATGACATTTCTCTGGCCTTAAGGGAGGATTTGGAGCCTTTACCGAAGTTCTCATTCTGCAAAATGCTGGTATAAATTACCGGTTACTGGTATAAATAACCTGGGCTACACTCCGTCTTAAAAAAAATACAATGGAGTGAAGAAAATTATAAATGTATTATTTCAGACATTTTTCTTTCTTGCTGACAAAGAATCCTTCCTAAGTTCCAACATACATTCAGTAGTTGACTCACTTCCTCCCATTTGACAAGGTCAGTTGAATCAGACTATGGCTGCAAAAAAATCTCTGATAAAGTTTAGAAGAGAATTAGTAAAGTGCTATAACAAGGAAGCTCATGGGGGGTATTATCTGGTAGCACAGGGAAAGAAATAGCAGAGTGAGTAGTTTTTAAAGATAAAGATTTACAGAAATCTTGCTCCTCTTGTAGGGGGCAGTATTTTTGGCTGTAAAGAATACAATATGCTGAACACTATCCCTGTTTGAAATGGTAAAGCATGTATAATCCTGTTCTCAAAAAAAAGATCTTTGGGAGGTTTTTTTATGAAAACGAAACATTAGTCTGTAAAGGAGACTGATTTTTTGGAAGGCTTTTGGTGCTAAGGTGCCTGAGCCAGTTGAAACTAGGAACATGAGAGAATAACCTAAGCCTAACTTACAGGTGGAGGAATACTGGCTGTCCCCCTGGCTGGGCACTCTTGGGAGCAGCCCCCAACAAGGCTAAGAGCTGATTACTTGGGAGAGGAAAATACAGTGGTATCCAGAAAGTGGGCAAAACAGGAGGGAGGGCACCACATGTGTCTGGAGAATTTATTCTTTCTGCAGTAAAATGGTGACCCTGCAAAGAGAAAAATGCAATAACAAATATTACTGATGTTATCGTCTATAGTTATTTCATGATGATATTAACATATGTAAAACTTATTTCTAAACTGAATTTGGTTTTATCAGAGGCCTTTGGAAGCCTGTAGATGTCAAGATGTTATAGAATCATAGAATCATAGAATGTTTAGGGTTGGAAGGGACCACTAGTGGTCATCTAGCCCAACCCCCCTGCAGTGAGCAGGGACACTGCTAACTAGATTATAGTTTACTAAGGAATTAGAGCTCATTAAACCATGAGTAGAATTGGAGTGGAAGAGTGCTATAGGCAAAGATCAACATAACTGGTGAATGTGAATGGAAAAATAAGTGATGTGATGTAAAATTACATAGACCCCGTTAAGCATTACGGAACAGGACAAGAACAATAAAAGCAGTTCTGTAGAAGCTGTTCAACTCGAAACAAGGATGTAACATCAACACCCAAATTACATGTCAGTGGCTTTTCTTAGCCTTATTCAAGTTCATAAACTACCTCAGAAGCTGGCTTGCAATGAAAAAAAGTTGTTACCTGAAAGCACTGTGTCACTGGTGATTCTGGTATATTTACTTTAAACCACTTCACTGGTAATACAAGGACAGTGACACTATGGAAACCACTCTGTGTTTCCACTATATCCCTCTTTGCAGACACTGTGATCAATCAACACAGGCAGCACAAATCAGCTGATATAATTGCATTATTTTCCCCTGGAGGCTTCCTGTTTTAGCAAGAAAAAGGAGGGAGGGGGAAGGGAGGGAGGGAGAGAGTGCTAAGGGTGTTTCTGATGCCACCTGTTTCTGTCTTGCCCTAGTGATAACACAGCAAGAGCTGATCCCAGGCACGTGAGGAGTGTGATTGCTTTAACAGATGCTATTTCAGACATTAAAGTCATATTAACAGTCTGCAAGGTAGTGCTCTGCAGAGATAGCTGAACTAACTCCAGCTGAGATAGCTTTAAAATTATATCAGTGCAGTACTGTGCCAGGACTAATTAGCCCAGAGGTAACACCATGCTGACACAGTTAGATTGCTCTGGGACGCAAGGTAATACCCTGATAGGTACTCTGTGGAGACATACCCACTTGTTTAAAGCCAGCTTAGTTATCTGGATTACCACAATGCAATGCACAACTCTGACATGTCTTAAGGGGCCTAATATATTGTTACCTTCTGTAATACTCACAGCCGCTGGCAACCATCTCATTTAGAGTAATTTTATACTTCAGGTCACAAAAATATACCTTTATTTTATTTTATTTTATATTTCCTAAGGCATACTTACTAGAATCCTGAAATTCAATAAAGATATCCCTTTATCATATACATAAGTGTTACTGTTAGTTTTAGTTTTTTGCTTGTTTTACCTTCATATATTCATAGAAAATTTTCCTCTGTGCTTACTGCTCCATACCATTTATACCATTACCATGCCTCATTTTTATATGCTTACAAATTTAGATTGTAATTTTTCTTTCATGTTTGTAGCTTCAACAGTTCATTAGTTTAGTTCATTAGTCTTCCAATACTGCATCAAAAATTAGTGATTCATTTATGTTTAAAAGGATCTTAATAATACTTCATGTTTTTGAGATGGGAAGAGAAAAAGATAGGCTTAAAGTATTAAGCTAATTAATTGGCTTACTTTGATGTGTGTGTATGCAATGCCTGATGGTGTTGACAAATGGTTGTCCCTAAGACACAGTGAGAGCAAAGACAAGAAGAGTCCTCTCAGTCTCCTGAAGAGCTGGGGTCAGCTACAAGGGAAGCAGAGGCTGCCGATGAGCAAAGGAGCAGTGGGAGTGAGGTTGTCACCATTTTGGAGCTGAAGGAACCATGCCATGTTCAGGACCTGAAGTAGGCCAGGGGGACTGATCTGAGTGTAGACAGAGCCTCTGTATCTCCTCTTGGATTAATGTATTGGATTCTCTTACTGTATCCTCTAATGCCCTCACCAGCATGACTTCTACCAACCTCTGGGTGCACTGCACTGAAAATGTAATGTTAGTAATTACTGGTGGGGTCTATATATCTGGGTCTTTATGGCTCTGAAAAAGCAGTTGCCACCATTGCCATGAATGCAGCCTTCACTCCTTCCCCTCTGCATTCTGCCTGTGGACTTCCTACCAAATTTGTGTCGATGGTCTCTCAGAGCATATCTGCCAGAATTTTAACCCATTAAATGTATGCTAGCCCCATACACTGTGGAGACTGTCATTACCTTCAGGCTTGGTTTCTGTATAGCAGATACACATTGCCTGAATCTGAAATGGCTGGTCTTGAGCTTGTTGCTCCATGCCAACAACGTAGACTTGTGATGTCCTAGTGTGCATGCACCTAAAATGCAGTATATGGTAATCCCCCTACTTTTGTTTACTTTAAAATTGGGCTGACCTCTGAATGATTATTATGAAGCTTACAATAATTTAGTCCATAAAGCTAAAATATGTACAAATAATCTCATATATTCCTTTTAGTAGCTTGAGTATTTTTACCCATACATTTAAGGAAGGGCAAGAGTGCAATGCCTTGGATGCTCTTTTAATCTAAATCAGGTTATTTTATTGACAATAAACTGAGAATCTAAAAATGCATACAAATTCAAAGTCACTTCATCCTTTTCTGGTAGAGGGTTAAATATCAGAACATGTTAGAAGGTGTTTAATGGCTGAGTGCCTTGACCTTGTCTGGGACAGAAGCCAGTCCAGGACATTTGTTGGCTAGAGCTATGCACAATGAACATCTATAATCAGCTTGGCACTCCTGTTACTACAGCAGGTGTTTGTGTCTACCACCGTGGAAAGTGCCAGACCGTACAATGATGGCTAGCAAATAATGTGCTACTGCAAATCTTTCTTTCACTGTGCAGTTTTCTCTTTCAATTTGCTATATTATTCAGAAAACATCAAAGCCTTTTCATAGGTGTTTTATTATATTTTAGTATGAAAACTCCATCATTTTTTGTCAGCATCTTTAAAATGAGTAGTCCTAATAGAGTTAAGGATTTAATGCTTTAAAAATTGGCAGTAGATTCATGGGAGCTTGAAATGACTTACAAGGAAAGTAAATCCATCATTTAGAAATTCTCACTGTAAATCAGACTAAAGAAATTAAATCCTGTAGATAAATGTTTTGACTCACAATGTCTTCCCAGAAGGAGGAATAGGGCCAAAATGTTTGTCTAGCAAATTGTGGGTTTTTTTGTGGTTACCCTAAATCGAGTTCACATGTTTGCACTGTTCGATATTCTGTTTCCTTCCTGTACCTACACAGGGACTTCACTCAGCATGTCTGGAGCAAATTAAAACAAAAGCACTTGCACAGGATTACTATGACAATGCTTATGAGTAGGAAAGATGTGGAACTGATTTGCCCAAGGGTGGAATATGGTTCTCCAGTCAACTGAGGGACAAATTTATATTTAACTGAATGGGATAGTAACCTTCAATTTGACAAAGCAACTTAAAGCTTTAAATTACCGACCAGTGCTGAATGGGTTGACTCTTGTTGATGTAAATGCCAAAAGCTAAGCGGATGGGTGACGCTTCTTCAACCCCGTTACATATTGACATCTTACTTAAAAAGAGGGATATAACCATTCAAGAACACAGGCAACTGAAATTTAGGATAGTTGCAGTGCCAATATAGCATGGATGAGCACATGGGAATGAAAATCAGGAAAATTTGCTTGAGTGAGTAGCACTGAGAAACTTAGTCGGATCTTAAAATAAAGTGTCATACAAAAATAGGAACAAAACTGAATACTATCACTTGCCACATACCAAGATAAATGAATGGATAAGCAGTATTTGCATTTTTTCATGATTTATCTTCTATATTTTTGAAAGGATAATGTAAGAAAAGTGAAAAATGAATGAAAAATAAATAAATATCCATTTTCATTATTCTATAGATTATTTATGATTGTTAACAGATTTCAGTTGACTCAATACTCGAACATTAAGCTTCAGCAAAATTGTCAAATTGTTAAATTATCCTTAGTATACAGAATTTCAGTATCTAAGTCAGAAATTTATTAGTGCAATGGTAGTAGGGTATGATCTTACATGTTCAGTATAGGTCTTAACTTCTGAGCTTGTCCCACAGACTTCTGTTCTTGAGCCTGTTCCTGTCTATGCCCTCTGTCAGCTGTAAGGCAGCTCAGGCTGAGATCAACTGTTTCTGTTTCGGGATGCTGCCTGGCACACTGTAGGTAACATTACAATACAAAGCAAAACAGAATAATCTCATCTGTGCTACAATTTGTACTACTTGAATGGGTATTTTCTGTAAGAATTTGTGAAGATTCTTTCTTATACAGGATAACACTGCTAAAAGCTGTAGGAAACATTATTATCACTGAGAAAAATACTCATTTGTTAAGAGTGATTTCAGGGCCACTGCAGAGAAAATAGAAAAGAACCATAGAGGGAATGTGAAGAGGAAAACTGAGGATGCAGAGGGGGACGATGGGCAGATGTTCTTGGGTAATGTGCTGAAAGAACAGATGACGTCACTGGGAGAATTACACTGAGCATAACGAAAGCTCCAGTTGTAATCAAACGATTGAAGATACCATGGAGGGCATAGGGCATGAATCCATAGGAAAACAGGCTTCCTTACTTCCATTATTTACAAATCTTTTTTCCCCTTAAGATGACAGGATACCAATGCAAGTTTGTTTTATTGGTTTTGGTTTTTGTTTTGTTTTGTTTTGTTTTTTTAATTTTTTTTTTTTTTATTACCACATAGGTCTTTTGCAATATGGAAATTGCTGGAGGAGGATGGACGGTTATACAGCACCGAGAAGATGGGAGTCTGGATTTTCAAAAAAGCTGGAAAGAATACAAAATGGTAAGGTGAAAACTGTGGAATAGCTGTATAGTTCATAGAGGTGTTAGATAGCAAATAGTACTTCCTATTATCTTAAGCAGATAAATCTGCCTATAGTTATGTGGTGTGGTCCTGCAGTCTTTTATGATCTACCTTTTGTCATGTCTGTTACTTTCGAAAATCACAATATTCTTTTTACTCAATTAGTTGAGCATTATTTCCCATAACCTAGGGTTTCTTTCAGATCAGTTACTGAGACTGAAATGAGGTCAGGCCCAGACATATGCACTGAAGAATGTTGCTGTCTGTCCCTCTGAAGTTTTGACTTGCTGTGACGTGAAGGGGTAACAGGCATGTGATGATATTCCTAATGCATGGATGTTGTCAGCTGAGGGGAGCTCCTTCAGAACTTGGAGCATCTCAGATAGGAATGAAAAGTTTTACTGGGGTTTATCCCAAGTTATACAACACCTCTGCCAATCAAGGCAATGTACTGGAAATGTTGATACTTCAAATAGGATTAAAAGAAAATAAATAACTTACCAAATTACAGATGACATGACTTCAGCAAGATATTTTGCCTTTGCCAACTCAAAAAAATTTTACTCCAATCTAAATAATTTCTGAGTTTTTTCATTCGCTGCCTGATCAAACTTTATGGTGGAGCTCCTTTCTCTAAGTAAGTCCCTGAGGACTGGCTTGGATTTCAGTGATGTTCACAGTGAAGTTTTCAGAACAGTATTGTCAGCATGGAAGAGGAAAATCTTTTTTCTGACAGTTTTCAAAAAGCACTAAATGAAATGAAGAGAGTATTTAAGATGTTTAAAAATAAAAGCAAGTTCAGTTCAGTAAAAATTTCTGTGGGAAAAAGTTCTGTTATGGAACTTGCCATTTTGGAAAGAAATGTAATATCAGGTTATTGAACCAAAATATAATTGGATTTTTTCCCACTATTTTTATATTACTTGAAAATATAAATTATAGAGGTAAAACCTAATAATTTTGGTTGGACCTCTGCTACTACGGGTAACAAGAGGATGTAATTTATTTCATAATACATGCAAAATAAAAATAATTTAAAATGACAAATAAATACTTCTGAATGGATTTGCAAAATTGGAAACTTCTTTTAGAATTCATGAAGTTTTAATCTAGCAGGAAACTTGAAAACTGTGTTTCTCTATTTTGATTCAGAGTCAAAAAAATTCAAATAAAATATAAGACATCATTTTATTTTTGGGGAAACAAAAACTGAAGATTCTACCCGTTCTACTTATGAGGAAATTAGGATTTGTATATGCAACCTAACTTGTTCTCTACATATGGGTTGTTTTAGTTTATACATACCATACGAATTTTTGAGATTTACTCAGTTTTTCTCTCCTGTGCTTTTTCTTAGACCGTTTAATAAAAACAGACCTTCATTTTAAAGTTTTTCCATTTTTTCATATATATCCCTTCACTTAGTCATATATTTTCCTCAAATTTTCCTTTATAATGATGTGAGCCTGTTCAGGATTAGATTATGTTGGTTTTGTCTGGTTCAAGCAGTCTGAATTAATTTTGCTTCCCTTTAGGGATGCCATAGTTTTCTAAGAGATCATTTCCTTATACCAATTAAAAAGGGTCTGTTTTGGACTTTTACTGACAGCTACCCTACAAGTAAGCCATGAGAAAAGATGGGATTTAGGCTTGCCTCTGCTTCTGTAAACCATCTCACTGAAGTACCTAGCTTAGTCCCTCTTCTGTGATTGTCTTATATCACCAAATGTTGGATGATAGAGGGTGGTGGATGCTCTGTAGATTACTGGAATACAAGGACACCACTAACTTAATTCCCTCATTGTTCAGAGAGGGTGCATGGTGTCTATTGGATCATATCCCCCCTCCTTCCTGACACATCTACATGGTGTTTCTTCCAATGCAAACTAGGTAGTGTGGTGGGCGACACAGTGGTACTTGATCTTACTTGGAGTGGTTGAACTTTGTGTTCTCTCAGCCCATAATTCAGAGACAGCTTTCCAGGTTTGCTAAGACATTCTTGTTGTGCTTGTATCTCACTAGGGCCCCAAATCTAGCAGAAATAAACATTATCATAATAACATCATAACAGTAATAGTAAGTCTGTGCGGTTTCTTTTAATTTCAGTGCATTTAGTTCTTACTGGAAAAGAATTTGGAGAACTGTTGAAGTTATTCAGTTACAAGCAAGTACTGACTGACAGCTTCTGAGCTGGACAGGGACTCAGGCCACCAACCTGTGGTACTTCTAGTGCCCTCACAAGTTAGCGGCTGTTCCAATTTTAGGACATCATTGCACATTTTCTCTGACTCTAAGTTGAGATCCTTACATCAGGTAGCTTGGAAAGGCTGCACATGGAGTACTCTCTGCAAAGGTGAGTGACAGCACTGCTGGGTTACAGAAGTCACCTGGCACCAACTCATCCTGCAGACAAACTGAGGTAATTGGTTTCATGCTGGTATCTTCAGCTTATATGGAAGTATTTCAATTCCTGTTCTACACATCTTTCAGACAACATCACAGGAAACAGACTAAGAGAGAGATAAAGTAGCCATAAATCTTTTGAAAGGAGGAAATATACAACTCCATACATACATAAATTGCTACAAAGTCAGTGATACTACAGTAATAGTGATGCTTTTTCGTTGTTCTTTTGGCTCCACTGCCATTGGTATCCAATCTCCACTCTGGAAAATGAAGTTACACTTTCTTTGGTATCTAAAACAATAGATAATGAATATAAGCTCTTTTACACAGATTTTTTGTTATGCAAGATTGGTTATGCCATATTCTTCCTTAGTGGCATATGTACTTAACAGTATCGTACAGTTTTGCTGTTAGTCTTACGTCGTGCAGTGTAATTTGTGCCTTTGCCTCTAAGAACTCATTTCTGACTACGAAATCTCTTGAGCCTTTTCAGTTTTGTGTATTCAATACTAGTTGGTAGAAATTCAGAAGAAAACCTGTGAGTTCATCCTCCTATCCTTTTCTTTTAAGTATCTACTACATCTGTTTGTTCACATTTTGCGATGGATTTTCCATTACATTTGTTGCTTATCAGAAAAATCTGAAGCGGAGCAAGCAACAAATAATTTCTTTAACAACAGCAGCTAAGATTACCCTGAAGCATGTTTCAACCATTTTTATATTTCCTTGCCTGAGGAGGGAATGTAAAACACTATCAGAGTTTTGACCTCCAGAAGGAGAATACCATTTAAAAAACTATTGCTTACCATCTGCAAAACTGACCCTCTTTTAGAAGGGGGGTTTCTACAAGTTTACATTCTAAGACACGGTTTCTGGCATTTATTAGGCAGTCATTAGCAGTAATCAAATCCAAGCAAATGATTAGCTCATGTGCTAACTTGGCTATCAAGACTTCTTGCTAAAATTCCAACTTTTCAGTTCTTGGACGAATGCATCTTTCACAGTCACTGTCTCCATTTTTGCCAAATTAGGAGATGGAGTATTGGATTTCCTATTCTCTAGTCTTCTAGCATGTCTAGTTTAATAACTCCTATGAATTTCACAGAAGTTATTCCACACTCAATAGCCCAACATTCACCATCAGTTTCCTAGGGGGGCTTCTTGGAGGTCAAGTCTATTGGGGGCTTCCTCAGACCTTTAAAATTATTTTCTTGCCTTCTGCCATTGGAGAAAGACTCTCAGTAGGTATTTGAAATTACGTGCCTTGGCCAGCCCACAGCAATCCTTTTCCTAGCCATTTTTTTTCCTATGTGTCAGTATTTAATTGTACTGCATGCCTTTATTGCTACGGTATTGTTATTTTCCTTTCTCTGTTGAAAGAAAGCTATCACTTTTAAAATCATTCATAATGTCATGAGCTAGATTAGGATCACTTGTACATATTAGACCCACAGCTGAATTTCTAAGGTTTATGGCAACCACCTCCTATCTCCCTGAGCAGCAGCTGTTTTTTCTTTTGGTTCTTTAAGGAAAGAATGAAGTTCAGTGGTAAATTCCACACCCCTTTAATCTCATGTTCCTGATTAACATCTAAGAGTCCAACACCAGTTCAGTGTTTAAAACAAGTCTGCTGCCAACTTTTCTCAGAAGTCATCACTAGCATTTGTGTGTGCCTGAAAAGCACATCTACAAAACCACTTCCATTTCTGTTGGGCTTTCTTCTTTTTCTTTTCTCCTTAAAGCTGTTGGGTCAAAGTGATGGCTAGCTCCATAGTGCCAATATGGTATGATGCCAGAGCAGGATAATTTATGCTCTTCCATGGCTTAAATTCTGTAGCACACTGAGAGCTGGACCACCGAGATGGTTACAAGAACTTTCTCAGGAAGTATTTCTGGATGCAGTTCTACTGGGCATTTGCATTATGTTACCTGGAATAATCTGACTTTCCTCTGAGTCTTAGTAAATTATAACTAGTATAACAAGTCTGGTGATCCATGTCTTCTGCTTACCTAAAAGACAGCTGAACACCTCTTCAGACTGTAAGCCTTTGATTTCCTTCTAGGCATGTTGGTTTTTACCCTTTTTGATACACTTCCTGCAGTTCACCTCTGTTAGTAAGCTCTAGTTTGGACATAGGTCCCACTCATTTCCTGGAAGACCTTCTAGTTTGTGACAATCAAGTAGCTGGTCACCTCATGTTTTCACCTCACCAGTCCTTGCAAGTCCTGCAGACTGCAAGTTGTGTATTTGGGCATCTAGATCTACCTAAATTATTCATAATAAGAGCTACTATTCCAACAAAGATTTTATTTCTTAGTACTAACTTTCAGTTCATTCTGAAAACTTCCAGATGTTATTTACATTTAATTTTTATTTGCAAAGTGTCCAGCGCCTGTTTTAGAATGTGGTGTCCTAATTCCTTTTATGGTCTCCATCTGGTTTAAGTCTTATTTTAATTTCTCTTGTGAAAGTTTCAGTCCCATTATTCAATTTTGTTATCATTCTTTCTGCCCACCTTTCCTGTCTCAAGTGTGACATTTTTTTTGTTCCATATTGCTTCAGTAGCAATAAT